AACCCAGGCGCAGAGTTCCTGTGCCTCTGATGTATCAGGGAACAGGTGAGATGGCAAATGATCAGCTTGCTTCATTGAGAGGACATGGAACCATACTTGTTGCCCCTCTGCTGATAATTCCTCCCTAGATAAGATTTCCTAAATCACAAGATGTATATAATTTTTTTTTTTTTTTTACAAAAAAAAAAAAAAGTGTCTGCCCTTGGTACCAGTAAAGTCCGGCTTTGTCTTCCCAGAGGGGAGATTTATGCAATATAGATATTTGGGATGTGGTACCTACCTTAGCAGCAACACCTACTATTACCATTATTATTGACAATGAAAGTAAAAGAAAATCCTAAATTTTACATTGACAACAAAACAGTAATAGAGGGGAAATCTTTCCATGGGGACATTAGTTCTGGTGACACCCGGGATCCCCTCCCTCATATTTCATCAGTTTTAGAGCTCATGTACACAGAGCGTTTGGAAAACGCTTCTGAACGATGGAAACTGACTGCTGGAAAACATAGGTTAAAAAACGTCAGTTTTGCTATGTTTGTATAACGCATTTAGCAGCGTTTATGCACGTTTGCATTTAGAAGCTTTTTAAAAGATCACCTCAGGAGACCTTCCCAAATGCCCAGAATGCACTGAAAAATAGTAACATCACTAAAAAAGGCTATTAAGATACTATTAAAATTTAGTAGTGAAAAGCATGCATTAATGTTTCAGCTGTCAGCAGGATTCCCACTGACAGCTGAATGTAAAGAATTGCCGGAAATTAAAAAAAAATAATAAACGGCGTGGGGGCCCCCCTCCCATCCTTACCAGACCCTTATCCGAGCATACAGGCCCTCCTGAACCATACCAGGCCACATGCCCTCAACATATAGGGGGGGGGGTGCTTTGGGGTAGGGGAAGCTCCCCCCTTCCCAAAGCACCTTGTCCCCATGATGGGGACAAGGGCCTCTTCCCCACAACCCTGGTGGTTGTGGGGGTCTGCGGGCAGAGGGGCAGGGCCACCCGGTGACATCACCCATGTGACCCCACCCCCTGTGACATTGACCAGTGCATGCTGGTCACTGACGTCACATGGGGGGGGGGGGTCACATTTGATGTCCCCACCCCCTACATATTTAAGAACGGTCAACCAGTTTCTGAGAAGAGGCCAGGGGCCAGCGACAGTGGCGGAGCGTTTTTTTTTTTTTTTGTCTTCAAAGTAGCGGCGACGGACATCATGATTGACGTTGGATCTACTTCTGGGGACAACCTTTTATTAAAATTGAAAAGCCCCCTGCCATTATGGGGACAAGGTGCTTTGGGGGAGGGGGAGCTCCCCCTACCCCAAAGCACTCCCCCTAACCCAAAGCACTCCCCCCCCCCCCCCATATTGAGGACATGTGGCCTGGTATGGTTCGGGGGGCGCCGCTCGGATAAGGGTCTGGATTTTGGGGGAACCCCACAGCATTTTTTTTTTTGGCGTGGGGCTTCCCCTCAAATTCCATACCAGACCCAAAGGGCTTGGTATGGACGGGAGGGGGGACCCCACGCTGTTTTTTAAAATAATTTTTTAATTTCCGGCAATTCTTTCTTATATTCAGCTGTCAGTGGGAATACCGCTGACAGCTGAAACATGATACATGCTTTTCACTACTAAAATTCCACATGACTTAATAAAATCATGCGCTCTTTTAGTAGCTTTTTTTAGTGGATTCAAATTGGTTTAAAAAAAAATGCTATGAAGTATCCTACCGCATTTTCAGATGTGGTCGGATACCGCTTAGTGAATTGTGCCCTGGATATGGACCTGTCCAAAAATGCTTATAAACGCAAATGCTTATAAACGCGGTTAGCCACGTTTACAGACGTTTTGCATTTGAAATGCTGATAAAATCTACTGCTGAACGCAAGTTTTCTGTGTTCCAAAAAACAACGTGTACATGGACACATAGGAAAACATTAGGGTGAGTTAAGGGGCTGCTGAAAAAACCCGCTGAACAGCTCCTAAACGTGAGTTTATCAGCTGCATTGTACATGAGCCCTTATAGCAGGGGTTCTCAACCTGGGGGTCGCGACCCCTTTGGGGGTCGAACGACGCTTCCACAGGGGTCGCCTAAGACCATCGGAAAACACATATTTCCGATGGTCTTAGGAACCGAGACACCGCTCCTCGCCGCCGCCACCGCCGTCTCCAGGTGTGGGCGGGATGACATGCCGCCCCTGTCATCTGGACACACCTCGAGATCAATCCTCGCCGGCACTGTAGCTCAGGAGAGGCACACAGGCGGCCAATCACCGGCAAGGAGGTGGAGCTTGGAGAGGAGGAGCCGAGCGGCACCGCGAAGATCGAGCGAGTGAAGAGCAGGAGAGCGGCCGGAGAAGGAAGACATCTGACAGGTAAGTGTCGGTACAGGTACCATGGGAGAGGAAGGGAGCGAACGAGCGAGCCCAGGCTGGAGCAGGGGTCTGCAAGGTAAGTATCATTGGTGTCAGTGGGAATAGTGCCCCATCATTGGTGTCACTAATACCAACGACGGGGCACTATTCCTCCCCCCACTGACACCAACGGCGGGGCACGATTCCTCCCCCCACTGACACCAACGGCGGGGCACGATTCCTCCCCCCACTGACACCAACGGCGGGGCACGATTCCTCCCCCCACTGACACCAACGGCGGGGCACGATTCCTCCCCCCACTGACACCAACGGCGGGGCACTATTCCTCCCCCCACTGACACCAACGGCGGGGCACTATTCCTCCCCCCACTGACACCAACGACGGGGCACTATTCCTCCCCCCACTGACACCAACGACGGGGCACTATTCCTCCCCCCACTGACACCAACGACGGGGCACTATTCCTCCCCCCACTGACACCAACGACGGGGCACTATTCCTCCCCCCACTGACACCAACGACGGGGCACTATTCCTCCCCCCACTGACACCAACGACGGGGCACTATTCCTCCCCCCACTGACACCAACGACGGGGCACTATTCCTCCCCCCACTGACACCAATGACGGGGCACTATTCCTCCCCCCACTGACACCACTGACGGGGCACTATTCCTCCCCCCCACTGACGGGGCACTATTTCCTCCCCCCACTGACACCAATGACGGGGCACTATTCCTCCCCCCACTGACACCAATGACGGGGCACTATTCCTCCCCCCACTGACACCAATGACGGGGCACTATTCCTCCCCCCACTGACACCAATGACGGGGCACTATTCCTCCCCCCACTGACACCACTGACGGGGCACTATTCCCCCCCACTGACGGGGCACTATTCCCCCCCACTGACGGGGCACTATTCCCCCCCACTGACGGGGCACTATTCCCCCCCACTGACGGGGCACTATTCCCCCCCACTGACGGGGGCACTATTCCCCCCCACTGACGGGGCACTATTCCCCCCCACTGACACCAATGACGGGGCACTATTCCCCCCCACTGACACCAATGACGGGGCACTATTCCCCCCCACTGACACGGCACTATTCCTCCCACTGACACCAATGACGGGGCACTATTCCTCCCACTGACGGGGCACTATTCCTCCCACTGACGGGGGCACTATTCCTCCCACTGACGGACTGGGCACTATTCCTCCCACTGACGGGGCACTATTCCTCCCACTGACGGGGCACTATTCCTCCCACTGACGGGGCACTATTCCTCCCCACTGACGGGGCACTATTCCTCCCACTGACGGGGCACTATTCCTCCCACTGACGGGGCACTATTCCTCCCACTGACGGGGCACTATTCCTCCCACTGACACCAATGAAGGGGGCACTATTCCTCCCACTGACACCAATGAAGGGGGCACTATTCCTCCCACTGACACCAATGAAGGGGGCACTATTCCTCCCACTGACACCAATGAAGGGGGCACTATTCCTCCCACTGACACCAATGAGGGGGCACTATTCCTCCACTGACACCAATGAAGGGGGCACTATTCCTCCTACTGCAAAATTACAGTTATGAAGTAGCAACGAAAATAATTTTTATGGTTGGGGGTCACCACAACATGAGGAACTGTATTAAGGGGTCGCGGCGCTAGAAAGGTTGAGAACCACTGCCTTATAGGGTGATTCAGTCATCAGCTGCTGTTCAAATCAGAGTGGTCCACAGTAATAGCAATACATTTTTTAGATGATTTCACTACAACTCCGATTTTGATGTGTATTTTTCATGAAGAGTCCCCCCCGTATGATAAACTGTTAAACTGATCAGTCTTGCTCAGAAACTACACTGAAAAAAAAACACACTGTATTCTGATTACATATGGACACCTACGTGTTTCACATGTGCTTCCCATTGAAGTTTATAGCTTGCTAATTCGGATCGCACAGCTTCACATACAGAACCCTTTTTGAAAATCGTACTTGCAATCCATATATGTGAACGCCCTCCATAGGAACACATTCTATTTCAGTTGTCATGCAAATCCTCCAGCTAAACACGCATCTGAAAATGCCCCCCCCCTTCTCCTGAACCATACCAGGCCACATGCCCTGTGTGAACCAGGGCTTAGGTTGACTGTCTACTTTGACAGCTTCCAGCCGGATAGGTCAGGTAGGTTCAGTCTTGTGCCCAAACATTGCCTGAGCTAATCCACCGCTGAAAATGGAGTAACTGCATGGTCTCAGTGCGCCTCCGTAAAAATCATTACCTGAATCTGGTTCCCACAATGACATTTTCCATAGCATGGCAGGACAGAATTCTAACACGGCAATGACACACTTCTTTGGAGAACATATTCTCCAGAATAGGTTACATTTTACAGACACCAGCTCTTATGTGCATAGGATGCTGCTCTCCAGAATTTCTACAAAGCAATTTCCTTATTTCTACAGAACTAAAAGCCCCAGTGATAGTCGTCCACAGGGAAGGCTGATCGATACCTTACTGGAAAAAAGCCCCGGCTATTACCAATCTCGTGTCACATAAAACAACCTCATCTCAGGCAATCTAGTTGCTCAGCAATGAATTCCACACTTACTCTCCCTCAGGCGGTTCTTGAAGTTGGGGTCACTTCTTCGTTTCCTGTCGAAGTAAATGCAATAACCCAAAAACAAGGCCCCGCAAACGCCTGCCGCAATGGCGCTGGTCTTCCCCACGACCACCATCCTGCTCTCCGAACAACAAGGAAGAGGATAGATGAACTTCACTAGACGTAACCGCACTACCCTTCAGCAACCGCGAGGCTAAAAAGGGGAGGGGGGAAAAAAAAGTCCCACAATTATTACGTCACTTATCAGCGACCTCTAGCACATTTATTTCCTGCCTTGTTGAAATCACGCTAGGTCTGTTTTTCTAACCGTTCCAGTTTCCTGTTTTGTTTTTTGACTATGCAGTGCGCCGTTACTTTGCAGGACGTTTGTAAAACTAGATTCAGAATACTTAGGGGCTTTAGCCTTATATGCCCAATTCTGGCTGCTGGCCAATTTTCCTTCATCTCCACATATTGTTATTTCAGGTACTTCTATTGCGCCGTTAATTTACGCAGTGCTATATATACATATATATGTTACACATTCACATCAGTCCCTAACCCTCAAGGAATGTACAATATAAGATCACTAACTTAAATTCATACATATACTAGGGCCAATTTAGACAGGAGCCAATTAACTTACTTGCATGTCTTTGGAGTGTGGGAGGAAAACGGAAATCCCCAGAGGAAACCCACGCAGGCACAAGGAGAACATGCAAACTCCAGGGAGGTGGTGCCGTGGTTGGGATTCGAACCAATGACCTTAGTACTGCCAGGTGGAAGTGCTAACCATTTGGTCACTTTTTTTTTAATTCTAGACTTACCTCCAGCCCCAAACTGTGTGTAGAATAAAAGGTGGTAGTTTCAGTTTTGTGTGTTGCTAAATATTTAGGCTCTGTTCACTCCAAAGCGCTTTTTAGTGCTTTTTGCAGAAACGCACTACAGACCATTTAACATGGTTTCCTATGGAACATGTTCACATCCATGAATTTTTGAGCTGCTGCGTTTTTGGAAAGGGTCAGGGACTTTTTTTTTTTTTTTTTTTAAAGCAAAAAGCAGCATTGTTGCTACTCTAGAGTTCAATGGAGAAGCTGCTGAAATGCATGGTTGTTCAATTTTGCCACGTTTTGCATTTTTATTTAATTTCCCTTAAAAAAAAAAAAGCTAAACAAAACGTGGTAAAAGCACATCAAAAACACGTGTAGAAAAACACAGAGTGAACTGCGAAAAGCTCTGCAAAATAGGAAAAAAGTAAACAGCATAAGTGTGAACAGAGCCTTATGAATGATCATCAGTATAAAAAAAAAAACAAACAAAAAGGTGACATTATATAACCACTTGCCCTCCAGAAGATTTTACCCCCTTCATGACCAGGCCACTTTTTGCTATGCGGCATTGTGCCACTTTAATGGACATCGGTGCAGTTATGCAACACAAATGAAATTTTTATAATTTTTTTTCACACAAGTAGAGCTTCCTTTTGGTGATATTAAACTCTCTGCTACAAAACCTATCCAATAAAACATTAAAAAAAATGAAATGTAGGCCAAAATGTATTCTGGTACATGTCGCCGGTAAAAAAAAAAAAAATTAAAGGATGTACTAAACTACATGTTGGGATGATAGGATTATTGGCTGCAATGCTCAACAATCTCATTAGATATCAGCATATTTTTATACACTATATTGCCAAAAGTATTGGGACATCCCTCCAAATCATTGGATTCAGGTGTTCTAGTTACCTCCATGGCCACAAGTGTATAAAATCAAGCACTTAGGCTATGTTCACACTAGCATTGTGTGCAGGCGGCAGAGAGGCGTTTGGGAAGTGTTTTTACCGCTTCCCAAACGCCTCGGACAATGCTGCACATTGCAGCACATGGTGCTGTTCTAACGGGAGCGTTAGCGTCACGGCAAAACTGACGCCTCTGGTCCAGTCAGGAGGTGTTGAAGCCTCCTATTCTAGTCTAAGGTGCTGCTCTACAAACGCCCGACTGGCGTTTGCGGAGCGGTAACACCATTTAAACTTAATTATCGGCGTTTGTGGGGAGTTTTTAACGCTCGGCAAACGCCTAGCAACCGCCGCTAAAACCGTGCATGCGGTGTTTGCAGAGCGTTTGCAGAGCATTAAAAAACGCTCCGCAAACGCCGGACCAATGCTTGCCAAACGCTATAGTGGCATTTGGCAAGCGTTGGTGAAACAGTCAAGTGTGAATGAGCCCTTAGGCATGCAGACTGCTTCCACAAACATTTGGGGGGGGTCACTCTCAGGAGCTCAGTGAACTCAAGCATGGTACCGTGATAGGTTGCCACCTGTGCAATAAGTCCATCCGTGAAATTTCCTTGATACTAAATATTCCCCAGTCAACTGTTAGTGGTATTATGACAAAGTGGAAATAACTGGGAACAGCAGCAACTCAACCACATAAAACGACAGAGCATGGTCAGCGCATGATGAAGCGCACAGTGTGCCGAAGTTACCAACTGTCTGCAGAGTCAATAGCTAAAGATCTCCAAACTTCGTGTTGCCTTCAGATTGGCACACCAACAGTGCATAGAGAACTTCATGGAATGGGTTTCCATGGCTGAGCAGCTGCATCCAAGCCTTACATCACCAAGTACAATACAAAGCGTTGGATGCAGTGGTGTGCAGCACGCGCCACTGGACTCTAGAGCATGTTCTCTGAAGTGACAAATCATGCTTTTCTGTCTGGCAATGGATGTGTCCGGGTTTGGCGGTTGTCAGGGGAAAGGTTACTTGGTTGACTGCATTGTGCCAGGCGTAATGTTTGGTGGAGGGGAGATTATGGTGTGGGGTTGTTTTTCAGGGGTTGGGCTTGGTCCCTTAGTTCCAGTGAAGGGAACTCTTAAAGCGTCAGCATACCAAGACATTTTAGACAATTTCATGCTCCCAACTTTGTGGGAACAGTTTGGGGATGGCCCCTTCCTGTTCCAACATGACTGCGTTCCAGTGCACAAAGCAAGGTCTATTAAGACATGGATGAGCGATTTTGGGGTGGAAGAACTTGACTGGCCTGCACAAAGCCCTGATAGAAAACCTTTGGGATGAATTAGAGCAGAGACTGGGAGCCAGGCCCTCTCGTACAACATCAGTGCCTGACCTCACAAATGTGCTTCTAGAAGAATGGTCAAACATTTCCATAGACACACTCCTAAACCTTGTGGACAGCCTTCCTAGAAGAGTTGAAGCTGTTATAGCTGCAAAGGGTGGGCCAACTCAGTATTGAACCCTACAGACCAAGACTGGGATGGCATTAACCGCCTCCCACCCCCCATATAGTAAAATAATGGATGCAAGGCGGTTCTCTCATTCTGGGAGGACGTCATATGACGTTCTCCCATTCTAACCGCGCATACGCGGCTCTGGGAGCGCGCGGCGATCGGTGGTGTACTGTGTCCCTCGGACACAGCGGATCAACGGAAAGAGCCGAAGATGTCGGCTCGGTCATGTGATCCGCTGTGTCCAATCACAGCTGATCACATGTAAATAGGGAAATGGCGGTTATCGGCATTTCTCTCCTCATGAGCTGTCATGCTGACAGCTCGAGAGGAGAGCCGGTAATCGGTATTCCTCAGAGGGGAAATTTACACTGATCAGCCCCCTGATGATCTGTGTAGCCCCAGCAGTACCACCTGTCAGTGTCCATCAGTGCCAGCTGTCAGTGCTCATCCATGCCACCTGCCAGTGCCACATCAATGCCACATTTCAGTGCCTACCAGTGCACATCTGAGCTGCCTTTCAGTGTCACCTATCAGTGGTGCCAGTCAGTGCTGCCTATCAATGCCATATATGAGTGCTGCCTTTCAGTGCCCATCAGTGATGCCTGTCAATGCCCATCAGTGTCACCTACCAGTGCCTCCTCATCAGTGCCACCTATCAGTGTCCACCAGTGCAGCCTCGTTAGCGCACATCAGTGAAGGAGAAAAATCACTTATTTACAAAATTTTATAACAAAAACTAAGAAAAAAAACGTTTTTTTTTTTTTTTTTTTCAAAATTTGCAGTGGTTTTTGGTTTGTTTAAAAAAAACCCCAGAGGTGATTAAATACCACCAAAATAAAGCTCTATCTGTCACCAAAAAAATGATACAAATTTCATATGGGTCCAGTGTTGCATGACCGCGCAATTGTCATTCAAATTGCAACAGCGCTGAAAGCTGGAAATTGGCCTGGGCAGGAAGGGGGTATAAGTGCCCTGTAGGCTAGTGGTTAAAGGATAATTTCACCTTTGGGAACATATTCCACCCATTCCCATAGCTGCCGGCTGACCCCCCCGACAGATATTACATGGAGATTTCTCCTCGTACTATCTGTCAAATTTGAAAACAGCACGGCTGTGTGGGGCTCCGGCCACACAGCCACATCATTAAATTCACGGACTTATCAGAAACAGGTCAAATATGATCATTGGCATGTGTATCCACAATAATGCACTCATACAGTATGAGTGCATTATTGTGGATACACATGCCAATGATCATATTTGACCTGTTTCTGATAAGAATGTGGGTATAGTTATTTTTCTACATTGGGATTATAGGTGGAATATCATGGTGAAACATGCCTAGGAATCCAATTGAACCCTTTCTGATAAGAATATGAGAATAGTTATTTTTCTACATGGGGATTATGGGTTGAATATTGTGGTTAACCATGCCTAGGAACACATTTGACATGCTTAAAATAAGTATATAAGAATAGTTATTTTTCTACATGTGGATTATGGGTGGAATATTGTGGATACACATTCCAAGGACCATATTTGACCTTTTTTCTGATAAGAATATGGGTATAGTTATTGTTCTCCATGGGGATTATGGGTGGAATATCATGGGTGAACATGCCTAGGGACACATTTAACTTGTTTCTGATAAAAATATGTAAATAGTTACTTTTTAACATGGGGATTATGGATGGATTATTGTAGTTAAACATGCCTACGAAGAAATTCAACTTTTTTCTGATTAAAACATGAGAATAATTATTTTTTCTAAAAAGGGAATGGGGGGGAGATATCATGTTTACACATTCCAAGGAACATATTTAACTTCTTTCTGAGAAGAACATGGGTATAATTATTTTTCTTCATGAGGATTATGGATGGAATATCATC